CAGTTGTACAGAAGGTTTGAAGCTGTTGTACTGCTTGATTGTAGAGTTATCAGAGCAGCAGCAGCAGAAATCTTGATTACTCTACTGGTTGAAGCTGTTTCTTGGGCACCTTGTCACAGCAGTAGTTTGTTTCCCATCACCTGACATTATATTCCTCGTGAAGACTTCTTATCCATTTCAAAATTAGGTGTGTAATAGTTTCCTCTGTTGCTCTGGATGGGCTGATCTAATCTGTTAGTTGTGCCAGTCTCTCTCCGTTGCTTGAGGTAAGGAGTTGAACTGAATAATCTGGACAGGGAATTTGTATCAGAATCTCAGATTTTTTTTTAGCTCTGTGCTTCTTCCTCTTCTCTTTCAAATAATGATCCTTAAGTTGACAGGGCATCATGGTTTTTATGCTGATATTTAAAAATGGGAATGAATCCATATTCCCAATTTTATAGACTTTAAACAAAACCATTTGAATTTAAAGTAAAGCTTGGTGGTTGTCTGCGATTGAACCAGAGTTCTTAATCCTGCTTCAGAAGGACAAAGAAGAATTTATTGCCTTGTGCCTTGAAATTTCAGCTGTGAGAAGTGCTTCACCATCCAAAGCTGGAGCATTGATGTACTCAGGGAAGAGATTACACCTGACCTGTTTTGATTTCCACTTTCCTTCCCACTCTATTCTCTAGTGTCATGATTGCCTTCAAGTGGGATAGCCAGGTAAACAGCTTTCTGGATTCCTCTAAACCTGCAGGTACCCATGTGAAAGCAGATTGCTTATGTTGCTTGCATTCTGTCTATTGAGTTCATGTCAACATAGAGCAAGTAAAACTAAATAAAGGAAGCCTTGTATTTGAGAGCAAGTGTGTTTGAAATGTGCCTCAGGGGCAGATAAGCATTAAGAAAAGAAGGTGATAATGTGAACAGAAAATACCAGTGAAATAGATTCAGCCAGCATCTTGTACGCAGCTTTACCTGCTTTGTGTCTCTGCTCTTGTTGACTCAAACTTCAGTGGAGGAAAATAGATGTACTTCCAGAATAGCAGATCTCCAGAAGTGTGACTTAGAAGAGATAAAGAGGTTTCTTATTATTCTAAATTATACTTTAGAGAGGTTTTATTAGCATTTCAGAAGCCTTGAAATGCTGTCTTTTATTGTTTGCAGAAGCACTGAAAACATTCATTAGAACCCTTAATGGAAGATGTGGGGGCCTTTATAGCTAACCCCAGTCTATTTGACAGTGCAGTTATTTTTAATATCTAGCCTAGGGTGAGCATGTAACCATCTCCAAACCACTGCCTGTGTCTGGATGTGTTTTTATCAGTAATTTGTTCTCCATAGCTGAGCAGAAGGCAGTTGAATTTATAGCTCTTGAAATGGGGAATTGGCAGTAAGGCCGTGTCTCTTAACTGAAGGGATTTAGCTGTGTGTGTGTGTGAAAAAGCAACTGGGTGGATGTCTACCAGCAGCTGGAGCTGCAGCTAGTTTGAGGAGTCGGTAACGATGAGCAGGAATAAAACATTTCCATTTCAGAAGTTCTGTGCATTAGCCCCAATAAACTGCAGTGCTTAACACTGGCATTATGACAGATGTGTAAAAACTGATGAGAATGTTATTAGTTTTCCAGCATAGTTTAGATGCTAGCAAAAGTGAGGGCAACACAGCTATAATTCAGCTGTTTCTTTGTGTGATTTGAGGATAGCAACGTCTTTTAGCAGACGATGGGAAGGGGAACCATTTGCCTGGTAGCACTTTGTGGTGTTTGAAGAGCAGTTCTGCAGTGAAAGCTCTGAAAAACTTTGGCACCAAGGTTAAAGCTGTGCTTCTTGCACCTAGAAGGACCATTGCTGCATTCCATCCCCTCCTCCTCTTTCTGTAAGTATACTTCTGAGCAGAGCTCCCCAGTGATTCCTGACTGGGATTCCTTAACTACAGCACTTTAGTCCTTGCATTTGTAGTGCTGTAACACACTTGTATGCGAGACAGAACTGGTTTCAGTGTTTCAAGGAAGCATTTTAACCACAAAGCCTGCTGTGATTTGCCTGCTCATTCCAAGCAACGTATGCAGACTCTTCGGTGGCATACAGTGATAGAATGAGGGGCAGCAGGCAGAAAATGGAAGACAGGGATTTCTGTACAAACAGAGTGAAGAATTTCACTGTCAGAGGGATGGAGCACCAGAGCAGCCTGAGCAGATAGGTCGTGGGGTCTCCTTGTCTGCAGATACTCAAGACCTGACTGTACACCTACCTGTGTAGGGAACTGCTTTAGCAGGGGTTGGACTCAGTGGTGTCTTGAAGTCCCTTCCAGCCCCTACAGTTCTGTGGTTATTCCTTACTGGTAACAGTGTGAAAACACTAGGGACTGGGATGTAGTTTATTATTCAGAACCTCGCTGTGCTGTTTAAGAACTGGCTTAATCTGCTACTGCACATCCACTAGCTGATGGTGTTTTGTCACATAGATCAAGTTTACTGTGATTTGTTTTCCCTTTTCCTTTTTGTGTACTGCAGCCTGTGACAAATGTAACTTTTTCTCTTCATTTCAATTGTTATTTCTAGCCTAGGGAGTGGAATATGGTAAATGTGCAAGAGAGGAAGTTCATGGAAAATAATAAAATAGTAACAGAATGTCACAGAATTACTGTGAAATGGTGTAATACTAATTGTATGGAAAAGATCTGATCCAGGCCTAGTATGTTAAATACACTTGGTCCAGGCTTTATCTTGTGATCTCCTGAACTCCAGTGGAATTCACTAATATCTATAAAATACTTAATATTTGTGCATATTTTTTTAACTACTCTCTTGATCTCCTAGGGAGCCTGTTCAAAATATTTTGAGAGGTTTTACTGAGATAAGATTAAAACAAGCTACTCTTGATCATTTCTGAGAATCTTGGCTTTGGGGAAGGAAGGGCTGGCTGATACGAGGACCAGCAGAGCAACGTCCTGCTTGCTTCTTTCCACCTCTTTTTTTCCTCTGATGCCATTTGTGGATGTGTTTTTCTACTTGTTAAATGTTTGCATGCATGTTTGAAAATTAATTTAAAGCCTTAGACCAAATGGTAATTCCAGGTGCAGGTACAAAGACTGTGTCAGGTTTATGGATTCCTTAAAAAGGGATGCTATCCAGTGCTGTGAGCAAGTCCAGTATGATTCCAGGGTAAGCAAATGAGTGTAGAACTCTGAGCTCAATAAGCTGAGTCTGGAGAGGTACAAATCAATAGAGTTGCAGTGGTGCTTGCAGACAGCTTTCTAAGCAACTGGGTTTTATGCAACCAGTATGGCAGAAGGCACTGAGCAGTCACTGAATCTGACCGGTGTTCATCCAGGTTTCCATCTGTCACCCATCCCCTGACAGAAACTGAAAGCAAAGCAATTTTTTTATTGCCAAATTTGTCTGTTGAGAGTTTTTCCTGCATTGTGATTCCTAATTGAGAAGCATTAGCGAACTCTGAAGGTACTGATTTACTTCCTTTTTTGCAAAGTAGCTTGACACAAACATCTATGTGTTTGCAGGGGAGAGAGCTAGAGCAGTCAGAATAAGCAGAGGATATTATTTCATGCTGTATTTATTTTCACAGACTGGTTTTTAAGTCGTTGTGTACGCTGTACTGACTTCAGTGGCCTACTCCCCTGCTCTTCAAATACCCCTTTCTGTTCAGGATTTTTGTTTAATCTTTGTACTGGAACTTCCTGGAAAGTTGGTGCTTCTGGGGGAGCTGAAAGAGGAACCAAGTGCATTTGATTCCTCAAATACACCTACTCTGGAAAGCAGCATTAAACTGGATAAATCAATACCACAGTTTCTGTGTAGCTGTGACTTCCAGCTGCATACCTTGGGCAAGCAGTGCTCTTATGCTGTATTTACTCACAAGTGGACCTTTTAAATGGGTAGGAGAGGAACTGGCAGTGTCTGTGGGGTGTTCCTGGCCATGGGTGAGTCCTCAGAGCATCCTCTTGTGTTTTGGTGGTTTGGGAGGAAAGAATCAGCACATGACCATGAGGTGGTCTTGCTTTCCTTCCCCTTGTGTAAGTGGTGTCTGCGGTCGGCTCTCACAGGAAATCCAGGTATTGGGGAATGCATGGGTCTCACTAGAAGCTACAGTCAGGCAAACTGGGGCTCTTGGCTGAGATTACCTGCCTGGCTGCAGCACTGATGCCCAGCTAGGTAGTGCCGGGTGCCAGGCTTGGCTTAATGGGTGGTTTTTGTCTGTGGGCAATGGAGAAACTGTGAGGCTTTGTCCAACCTAGTTGTTAGTACTTGCATAATGAGAAATTGGTCAGTGTTTTCTGTCATGTTGTTCCCCCTTTGGGAAACCTCAATCCTTAACCCATAAATGAATGTAGGAGTAAGCACTCAAGTCAAAACTCAGGCGCTTTCACATCTGAGCATATTTACTGTTGTACTCCATCTGTAGTAGCCAACTACTTTCTAATTTCAAACTGTTTTCCCTACTCCTCCTGTATGACAAAAGCTGTAGCTGTCCTTTGTGCCCTCAGCCTGATTGAGCTGAGCCATCTGCTTTCATGCTGAGAAGAAACATTAGGGATGAGAGACCCTTTTTTCCCAGAGGCAAATATTTCCCTTTCTCATCCAAATGATAAGTTTTTGACTGATTAAGCATCTGTTGTGCAATAGATCACTGAAAGAAATTGGTGGCATAAGCTGCTTAGGTAACACTGGTGAGTTTCCAGGAGTGTTCTGTTGTAGCTGAAAGCAGGTGTTTAGAATCATTTTATTGCTCTTGCCAAGAGGGTTTCAATCTACTTTTGTTTTCTGTTAGTCAGAGAGAGAGACAGGTGGAGTATCCATGAATAGCTTTAGGTTTGGTTCTAGCGTGATGCAGGCTGAGTATTAAAAGTTTCTAGGTTTTTATTTTTGTGGTTAGGTTTCTTTTTCTTTTTTTTTTTTCTCTCACCTTCATTGAATATTGCATTTTGAGGGAGGTAATTTTTGTATTTGGAATAATAATCATTGTGTCTAACTGCTAATATTTTATTTTTCTTTGCAGAAAGAGATTCAAGCAATGAGTCAGTGCCACCATCCCAACATTGTATCTTACTACACATCATTTGTGGTGAAAGATGAGCTTTGGCTGGTGATGAAGTTACTTAGTGGAGGTGAGTGGTCCAATTCGATACCCTGAAAGGCAGCATTAAAGGCTGACCAGTGTTTTCTTTTGTTTTCATCCCAGGTTTCCTTCCCACTTCTGAATTAACATTGAATGATAATGCTTAACTTCAACCCATTCAGCTCAGAAATAGCTTTTTATTTCGTGTATGTCTGTAGTAATACCCAACTGCATGACTGACTGTCTTTTTTAACTCCTGTTTTGTAAATTGTACAAAATAATTCTACAAGATACTGTCAGTGTTTAATTGCTGAATGACTCAGTTGAGTTTGAAAACAGAAGGATGTGACTTCAGACACTGAAAAAAGGAGCTCGGGTACAGATGTAGTAGTTGAAACCATTCTAAGCTTCAAAACAACAGAAACAACAGCACCATTGCACCTGAGATTGTTTCTCATATTGCATTTGCAGAAGTTTCTTAATCCTTTTCCATGATCCTAGGATAAACCTTCTGAATTAGAGATGAATTCAACCTCCTCTGCTGAGCCCAACTGTTCCCAGCCGCTGTATAGCTGGGGCTGTGATGTTAGCAGCTCCTCTTGCAGGGCTGATTGCTTGCCCTGTTCTCACTTGAGTTGGAGACCTGCATATGGTGCTGATAGCTTGTTGGTAACCAGCCAGTCTTTTGATTTTAACTAACTTACATACTGGCTGCCCTTGTGAGGAACTTAAATCACCTCTTTTTCAAAGCAGAACTGCTGCTGTAATGCCAGCCTGTGGCTTTACAAAGGAAGAACAATATCATGGAATCATTAAGGTTAGAAAAGATCTCTAAGATCACCCAGTCCAGCCATCCACCTATCACCAATAGTTTCCACTAAACCATGTCCCTCAGTATAACAATGGAATGCTTCTTGAACACCTCCAGGTCTGGTAACTCCACCACCTCCCTGTGCAGTCCCAGCACCTGACCACTCTCCCAGAGAAGCATTTCCTAACGTCCAACCTGAATCTCCCCTGGCTCAACTTGAATCCATTCTCTCTAGTCCTATTGCTAAAGGGGAGAAGAGGCTGACTCCCACCTTACCACAACTTCCCTGCAGGCAGCTGCAGAGAGCAGTAAGGTCTCCCCTGAGCCTTCTCTTCTCCAGGCTGAACAATCCCAGCTCTATCAGCTGCTCCCCATCAGACTCGTGCTCCGGACCCCTCACAGATCTGTTGGCCTTCTCTGAATGTGCTCCAGGGCCTCAATGTGCTTCTTGAACTAAGAGGCCTGAAATCAGGTACAGTACTTGAGGTGTTGAGTGCAGAGGGATGGTCACTTCTCTGCTCCTGCTGGCAGCACTGTCTCTGATACCACCTGGCAGAACACGAGCCAGAAGTGTACCCAAGCATCAGCCAATACCCCCAGGTCTGTTTCCTCTACACAGCTTTCTAACCACTCTGCCCTGAGCATTGCCTGGAGTTGCTGGGGCCAAAGTGCAGGGCCCAGCACTTGGTCTTGTTGATCTTCATCCTATTGGCCTCAGCCCAGCAATCCAGTCTGTCCAGATCCTTCTGTAGGCCTTCCTACCCCTGGGGCAGATCAACATTTCCAGCCAGTCTGGTGTCATCTGCAAGCTTACTGAGGGTGCACTCAATGCCCTCATCCAGGTAATCAGTAAAGATATTGACCAGAACAGGCCCTGATACTGACACTTGGGGAGCACCAGTCGTGACTGGATGTGACTCCATTCACCACCACTCTCTTGGCCCAGCCATCCAGCCAGGTCTTTGCTCAGCAGAGTACATCTGTCCAGGCCATGGGCTGCAACTTCTCCAGGGGAATACTGTGTGAGACCATGCCCAAGGCTTTGCTGAAGTGTGGGTAGGCTACATCAACAGTCTTTCCTTCATCCACTGGACAGGTCACTAGATCATAGAAAGAAATCAATTGGTCAAGCACAACCTGCCTTTTCCCTCTGGTTGTCTCACACTTGCTGTGTGATCTCCCTCAAGATGATCTGCTCCATAACCTTTCCTGGCACAAAGATCAGGTTGACAGGCCTGTAGTTCCCCATATCCTCTTTACGGCCTTATTGTAGGTAGGAACCTCCAGTCCTCTAGGACCTCTTCAGTTTACCAGGAATGCTGATTGGTGGTGGAAAGTGGTTTGACTATCACCTCCACCAGTGCTCCCTCAGCACCCTTGCGTGGATCCTATCTGAACCCACAGACCTGGTAGTCCAGGTAGATTAATGGGTCTCTAAAAGTTTCTATCTGAATCGTGGGGGTTTTATTCTCCTCATCCAAGACTTCCAGGTCAGGAGCTGCTTGATTTGTATAGCATTGTTCCTCGCATCTGGATGTCTTTCCCATTCCTAGGTGACAAAATAACTGCAATACTTGAGGCAATTTCAAGTTACCACCTGGTTCACAGGGCCAGGGAAACTTCTGGGATTTATTCTCTCAGGTAGAAACAACTTTTATGAGGGGGAAAATTGTAAAACTTCATATCAGCAATGCTAGATCTGATGTCATAGTGTTTTCCAGAATCCTTAAGTTGTTATCAAGGCAATAAATGGTATTAAGTTTGGGATGATAAGAGGACTGTTGCTGAAGTCTTAGGCTGTCTTAAGTAAGGCTTGATTTTCCTGGCACCCTTGAGAAAGGGAATTGGAAAGCCATTCTGGCTTTTCTGCTCTTGGCTCAATACTGAAGACTCTAAAATGACAGAAGATGTGGAAAAATCTGGCTAAATTTGTTGGCTTCTTCCCTGAAAGCCTGACAGTGACCGTAAGTATGTGTCTTTGAAGATCATTAATATTTTAGCAGTTCTCTTGGGGGCAATCAAACTTCATGCTGACTTGAATCTTTTTTAAAGAGTTTATGATGTCCCATGTGCTCACATGTTGTTAAGCAATACCCCTTATTTTCTTGGAGGGATGTGTAACAGTCGGATCATTAAAGATGGGATTTCTGATCGTATGTAGAAAAGAATCCTTTGCCAGTTTAGTGCTTTCCAGTTTTCCAGTTTAGTGCAAACGATTTTCCTGTTGTATAAGAGGTGCCTATGGGAGACCCTCACAAGCACATAAAGTGGTGTTTTAGGGGTACAGGATAGGCAGCAGCAATGTTAGTGGTCTTTTTAGGAGAATACACAGCCCCCTTGAGGAAAATTAACACTTTTGCAGTTTTCTGGCAGTATTAGGCTAATTCTTGAACCTCCAAATGTTGCTTTCATTCTTATTTTTTTTTGGTTTTTTTTTTTTTTTTTTTTTTGAAAGCTGGGGGAAAAAAAGAGATCAGTGTTTGGACCATGAAGTACCACATAAACGAACAGAAAAAGTTTAGAAAATAATCATAACTTCAGGACTTGGTGGGGAAACATAACCTGTTTGTCTTGAATATTCACTTTGAATAGGCTTCTGCATTATACAGGGTGGTATTTGACCCCTCTGCAGCTGTGACCTTAAGTGGAGAACTGCTTCAAAGTAGTTAAGGTACAGAAATCTCTGGTTTGCTCTGTTGCACACATTGAAGAGCAGGGATGTGCAATAAAAGACAGACTGCTTTCTCACTTGAAGCAAAACATTTGGGGCCTGGGGGGAATGGCTAAAATATACTTTGAGGGCAACGTGTCGGTTTTTATGCAGGAAGAAGATACCTTGAGAGGTATTTTTCAGCCTTTTTCAGCTTATGATTTTTTCATGGCTGTACTTCAGAAATGGGATTTTAGATCTTCCAGGACAGTCCTGAGGGTGGGTTGAGAAACTCGTGTGTCGGAGCTTTCTGACTGAGGACTTTTCCATTCGCTTTTAATGAGACTATTTCCAGTTGTTTTTAAGTCGAGTGATTTATATAAGGAGATGCTTTAAAACCTGCTTTTCATTCCTTTCAGCTTATCAGTAAAAGATTGGCTAGTCATCTGTTATCCAATGAAAAAAAATAATGGTCTGAATTTCTCAACAGGAAGGAGCTTTGGCTGTTTTATGAATTTGGAAGGGGGGGGAAAAATATAACAAGGTGCAGCCCAACTCTTTTATTCCATTTAACCATTCACAGAGCACAGGCTGAGATTTGTACATCCAAGTGAACACCTCAGGTCTGTTTTGATGCATTGGTTGTGGTTTTGTGCTGTATTTTTTTTTATATGGGTATAAGTTCAGAATCTTACTGTTTCTCTTCTCTCAGTTTCAACCTATGCTGGCTTGTGTTTTTAGGCTGAAAGCAACTTAAATTTTATCCTACTTACATGGACCCCATTGCTATGATGCAGTCTTAAATGTAAGTCTCTGTTGTTTTAAGTGTAATTTAATTTTCTGATTGCAGTCAATTTGTTGAACCTTAACCTAGTCATATGGGTGAATATTCTAGAGACATCCCTTAGGGATGGTACCCTAAATCTCTGCAGCTTTGTTTGTGCAGTCAGAGAGAGCACTCCAAGGCAGCTCCATTGCCTGTGTGATGTTGTCTCACAGCTCCACTTTTTATCTCCACTTTGCAAGTACTGTGTTGGTGGAAGATACTGTGTTCCATCTTTGAAAGTCGTCAGCAGCGAGTAGGTAATGTACTGGTGAGCTGTTGGGGAGAGCTGTGAGAGCTGCCTGTCTACAGCAGGGCCAAGTCAGGCTGGTGGAAGTTGGTGCTGAAAGCCCTTAGAACTGGCTGATTTGACACGGAGGCAGAAGAGCTGTGTAATTGTTCCTGATGGCATGCACTGTGGCTGTAATGGTATCCAGCTGGGAGTGATAAGGGGGTGCTGGTGTGTCCGGTTCTTCTAATGGCCTCTTTCAGATCTGATAGTATAGGCCTGAGTCAGATTTGTGAACTATCTGCTGCTTGTTTCCTTTAGGAGAAACTGCAGATCCTTTCCTCTGAACTTCTGATGATTAAACTGTTTTTCAGGGATCCAAGCTTAGCACTGTCAACGTGGCACCCCGGCCTCTTGGTCCAATGTTACTCCAGACTAAACTTAATAGCTATTTCTAGCCAGCGGCTGCCCCGCTCTTTCCCTTGTTGGCATTCCCATGTCATGAGTGTTAATCGTGCCTTCTAAAACTATCTGAT